GCCAACTGGTCCAGAGACTGAACATCCTGCTTCAACACACCTGTGCACGGCTGTTTGAAAAGCATACGCAAGATGTTTACCAAGAGGATGGCAGAGGACGTTTCACCGTCACAGTGAACTACCCCAAAGAAGACCTCCGATTTGAAATGCGTGGCAAAACGCATGTTAACTTTTATGCTCCCACCCCGAAAGACATGTGCAGAGCCATCACGGGTTCCTCCTGCAAAACCGCAAGCCAACCTGACCACGATAGCATCAGGTCTGCCTACACCACCCAATTGGTGTTGCCTGCTCCTTTAGTACGTATGCTGGGATTCATACAACTCCCCATGGTGGACGAAGCAGAAGAAATAAGCCAAGTCTCTGCTCAGCCTGTCCAGGTGGCTGTGTTTGACCGTCCTCTCATCGTGGGTGAACAGGAAGCACACCATCTGGCTGGTTTTGATACTGTGTACGTCTACTCGGATGCAGTGGAAGATCAAATCGTGGGGATACCATGGCTCCCTTTACTGATGTATGTTCCGTGTCGCTAGCCAGATGATGGAAGACAGCGTCGTGATCAAACCCCTCAGCACCTACGCTACATGGGATTGCGTCAGGGAACCACGGATGCCATTCGAATCTATTTAACGGATGACGTGAGGACGTCTCGTGCCATTCCAGACTGGGAAGACCATCGCGGACACTTCATTTCCGTCCCCGTCGCCTGGGTACGCATTGAGACTGGTAGCATGGTAGGACACCAGTGTATCAGACACCGCAGCAGCAGCGGCTTGGTGGACAGCAGCGGGGGAGGCAGCTTTAACCGCGGTACCGGTGGATGCATTCATCAATGAGGGAGAGGTTTCGGTAACATCTTTGGGAAACTGGGACGTTCAGCACTCTCCATCCTCAAGACGGTGGGAAAATCAGCTCTCAAATCAGGCCAAGATGTTGCCGGGATTGGTGCAAGATATCAGTTCAGGACACCGAAGTGTGGGGGGACAGTTTGAAACATCATGGGAAACAAGCCTTACTTGCCACCTTGCAACAGCACCCACCACCACCACCACCATGATCACCCGCTCGCAAACGAAAACGGAAACAGCCTGTGGGATTCACCAAGAAACGCAAACCCTTGTTTTGAGAGAAAGAGATAAAGAACCACCCCGATGGGAAAGGAGTTCAGTTCAACACCAGACACCGTAGGGTCAAGACCTGTTGTGCAGACCTGTTGTCCAGATCAGTGGTCAAGATGATGCGCCGAGATGCCTGTGAATGCTCCAAGACCCAACTGGATCTCTTTTCTGTGCCCCCTGTGGTGACGTCCGTCCAAGAAGGTCAGTGGATTCGATACAGCCCTCTGGCACCCCCTTCGGTCGCAGGCCCCCTCCAATTTAACATTGCTAACCCTGTGAATGCTTACATCGATTTGAGCCAATGTTACCTCCGCATCTGCCTCAAAATCAAGAATACAGATGGTACGAATGCAGTTCATGATGGCGATGGCGCACTCGCCGTGTCCACGGTGAACAACATGATGCATTCCCTCTTTTCGGTGAAGTCGTGTGCAAGTGGGACACAACCAACTGGAAATTACTCCTTCCATGGGTACCTACCCCTACCGAGCCTATTTGGAAACGTTGCTGAGTTATGGGAAAGCAGCCAAAGGGACCCATCTCCAGTGTCCAGGATGGTACACCGATGAAGCTGGAAAAATGGAGCACTTTAATGCTGTCGCCCAGAATGCCAACGCAGGACTTGTCGCACGACGAGGGGTCATTCTACCCACCCGAGACATGGAACTGACAGGACATCTCCACTGTGACCTGTTTCTCCAAGACCGGTACCTGGTGGATGGAGTCCCCATGAAACTAGAACTGATTCGCAGCCCAAGTGATTTCTACTTGATGAGTGCTGGAGATGTCGAGTGCCAATTTGAACTGACCAAAGCCGAGTTTTACGTGCGCCAAGTCAACATTGATCCTGCCATACTGGAACAACAAGTGAAACACATGTCACCAGGAGTCACGGCCAAATATCCTTTGACCCGAGTCCAAGTCACAGCCCACGACATCACAGGAGGAGGACGCGATTTCCACAAAGATCAACTGATTGGAGGCCAACTGCCCAAACGAGTGGTGTTGGGATTGGTGGACAATGATGCTTTTGCTGGCAGCAAGGAAAAGAACCCCTACCATTTCAAGCACAACAACGTGACCAGCCTCAAGCTGAAACTCAATGGGCAAGAAGTGCATGGCACCGAAATCAAAAGCGACTTTCAAAACAACAGTGCCTCGCTCAAACAGTTGTACATGAACCTGTTCCGCAACACGGGACACCTGTGTAAGAACATCCCTGCAACCTCACCCTGGACGAATTCAGGAACGGATTCACCGTGTGGGTAGTGGATCTGACGGCAGATCTGGGCGCAGATGAAGGGTATAACTACCCACGACAAACGGGCAAGTTGGGACTTGAACTTCAGTTTGCAGAACCCCTACCACATCCCGTCACGCTCGTCTGCTACGAGGAATACGAAAGCGTTTTGGAAATTGATCGGTTCCGCAATGCTCTGATGGTCTAAGGATGGACAACGCCAGTGGCTTGACGACCAGACACTTGAACACCTACGTACGACAGGATCCCCTGCTGCAAGCCCTCTACCAGGGTACCTTTGCCCGAGATCACTTTGCCACCACTGTGCTGTGTGAACAGCAGGAGGGACAATATCCTAAAGCCTACATTGTCAACACGGACCCCAGTCATCTCCCAGGACAACAGTGGGTGTGCGTGTATCGCCCAGCACCAGGTGCCATGGACTACTTTGACAGTTATGGACTCCATCCCTATCAACAGCATCCAGACTTCCGGAATGTCATGACCTTCGCCGGATGGCTCCAACAACAGTGGAATGGTCAATCACTTCAACCCTGGTTCAGTGCCTCTTGTGGGATGTACTGTTTGTATGTACTGGCTCATCGTGCCCGTGGATGGTCTTTTGACGAAGTGATGGAACAGTTTGATCCCTACGATACCCTCGTCAATGAAGAACGTGTAAGACGTTGGTTTCAACCCACACGCCTGACAGACAACAACGCTGACCATGATCCACACCCCTGCCAAAGGACACAACCTTATCGTTCTGATGTGATGATGTTACAGTTCTGATGTTACAGTTATGATGTTACAGTTCATACCGTTTGTAAACAAAAGATCAGGGATGCCCCTAATCCTGTCTCTTTTGTCAAAGTGTTCTTGTTAGCGGGGTAAATAAAACGGTTGAAAAATGTCAACCTAGTGTTGTTATTATTGTTGTTGGCATTGAAACGAAGGCTGCTTTTGAGAGAGATGGATGGCCCTGAAAAGGGCCGTTTTTTTAGAGTGTACCTCACTCCAGGGACCAGAGTTGGCACCTACATTGGCAGGGATGAATGGCCATCTTTGTTTTCACGGGGCACTTGCTCCCATGAGTTAAACGCCTGATATAAGTGTCCTTCAAGACAGTGCCACAGTAGACACATTGAAAGGTGACATTGTATTCGATGGTGCCATTGGCGTAGACAGGTAGACAGCCATGACATCGATGGCACTGCCATGCCGGTAAGGGTGGTGATGCTGTCTCCAAGGACATGAGTTCCAGATCCCAGTTTTCTCCAGACATGATTGCTGGTTGTAACACTGCTTCCGCCACCCCTCTCATCATATATAGTGAGAGCTCAGCCAATCGAAGACCATGGGGGTGCCACCACCTCACGATCATGACGTCACCGGTGCCACGTCATTACCCTCACGCGCGACCATGACGTCATCGATACCACGTCAGCGATACCACGTCATCGACGACACGTCATCGCTGTCTCGTCGCCCATATATAAACTCCAGCATGGATCAGTGAGGGCTATCTCGATGCAACATGGATACAAAAAAGTGGAAGTCATGCGACCTGCGCCTTACAGGAAAAACTGTGGTAGACGACAATGTTTGCGGGTGCAGTCCTACCTTGCAAGGGAAGACTAACATCAAAATGGAAGAGGCAGCAACAACACCTGCAGAACTGATACCCACAACAGCAACAGAAGCAGCGGCAGCCTCACCACCACCACCACCTATGGCAGCAGCAGACACGGTAGTCCCACCACCACCACCACCTATGGCGGCAACAGACACGGTAGTCCCACCACCACCACCTATGGCAGCAGACACGGTAGTCCCACCACCACCAACAACAGCGAAAACATTACCCAAATGGTCATCCAAATGGCGACTGATTATCTGTCCTACCTGTTTTAAAGCGTATCCCTCAAATCGCTTTGATGTCGTGCCAGGAGCAGACTTCTACATATGTCTCTACTGTGGGGAAGGCATCATCAAGAGAGGGCAGCAGCAACACGATGATGTGTGCCCCGGAAAATTTATTTTTCGGGGTCTCCAGCTCCTCTGTGAATGCTAACTTGACTGGCTGGTTCACATACCAACGGCCCTTTTCAGGGCCACCCACCTCGCTCGAAAGAGAACCTGAGTGCCAAAAGCTTCACCCCCTCTCCCTCCCTCCCTCCCTCCCTCTCTCCTTTCCTCTCCTTCCCCTTCCCTCTCCGTCCCGTCCGCCGCTCGTCCGTTCCGCCATCTTGAAAGGCGTCTACGCTCGCGAGATCCCGCGAGAATACACGAGATCCCGCGAGATCTCACGCGATCTCACCGGATGGGCCCGCCCTCTTGAAACGCGTCCGCCATCTTGGCCCGGAGGTGACGTCATCGTCATGCGCGCACCCACCGGAACCGGACGTGACGTCATCGCCATGCGTGCGCACCCATCGGAACCGGAACCCGAGTGATCTCCCCCTGATGGCGGCACATCCGGTCCCCGTGGGGCGCCGCCATCTTGATCAAGATGGCGGCGCCCATGGGGGACCGGATGTGCCGCCATCTTGAAAAACACGCCAGGGTGACCCGGTACACTACTCATGACCGCTCTCTCAACCAACAAACGTTCTGAAATCTTTGTAAACGTCAAAGTACGAAAAAAATTTGAACTGAACGTCAGCATGTACCTTGTGAACAATCCACACCTCTCCAGCCAGGAAGACATCCCATGTCACATGACCCACTGCGGCGATCACATGACGAGTTGACATCAGAACACTTCCTGTCAGTACACGTGTTCACACAGTTGACTCCATAGTGATTTGCGTCACATTCTACAAGAAATTCACAGTTTGGGTATCTCATAGTTTAGATTTGAAGATAAGTTTAAATGCGGAACGTCAATATAATGTCATAAAGGAATCAGGAAAGACTGCTTTATAACTATCAGACAATACGACATACAGCACAACAAGCATTTCAAGCAGCCTACATCATTCATTTGGGACAAAAACCCGTGAAGAATTGGATTTCAGCAACCAATGATTGTTAAGACAGGGGACAAAGAGGAATGGGTTGTCAGGCTTCCCGACTTATGACATGCGTGTCAGCTTCATATCCCAAATGCTCAGATCCATGATAGTGACGGTAATCGCCGGACTGTCGGATACAAACATGATTATTTACAAACCGCAGCCATAAAACTGGAATATAACAGAGTCCGGCGTCAATCTCCTCACCTATCTTATATCAGTGTCTCTTACACCATGTCCTCACCTGTATCACACCTGTCTTCCTGCCACCCTGGTCTGCAGTCTCCAGGACAGAAACCACTAATGTGGTCACACGCCTTCTTAGCGCAGTGACAATATTGATTGCAGGCTTCACCAAACAATCCTGGGCTGCAAACTGAAAATAGGAGATATCGATACGGTTACGCAGTAGTAATGTAAAATTATATTACTTATATAAAGTTTGTCCATATTTAATATATGTCGAGACGTGAGAGGGTTATGTCCGATTATGGTAAACGTATGTGTGTGTCCTGCCATACAAGAATATTATCCATGACGGAAGTGAACACCCAGAGTGTGACTGTTTCTTCAAATGCCAGTCGATTGTGGTATGTTTTCAACACATGATTACATTTATCCATCATCAATCCCCGATTGGAACAGAAAACATGTTTGTGCATCTTATTGATACATTAAACTCATATGTGATTTTTCACAATTAAATCTTTTACGGATTGTTTGAGGCATTGAAACACATGAACACTGTGACCTAGTAGAAATCTAATACACTCCTACCATATATTTCGACCTCACAGAGATTGAGGTGTGTAGTGTTTGATATCGAGAAAAATCTTCCAATGCCATCACATGTTGCACTGTAGATCCCGCCGTTACTGACAGGGATGTCGTAAGGGAAGGCATAGCAAGGGAGGCCCGTGGAGGAGCTCGTGTTACTCAAGTAGAGCACACAAGACCGGATTCTTCCTGGTTCTAAAATAGATTTTTCCGATGTAAGACCGACTAGATATCATTTACACAGACGTGAGTTCATTTACAATGAATTGTTATGTTTGCCTTGGAATAAACCTTGTGTGTCTTTGTCACTGAACTAAAGTAACCAGTTACGTTAAGCACATTGTGTCAAATGCCTCCGTCTCGCCTTCCATGAAGAAATATGAATTAAGTTGATGTATCAGTATATCACAATTATGCAAATTCTTTGGCAGTGTAGGCATTGTCCCCAGTGAACCATCCTGAAACACATTTTGCTGTCTCATCGGATCGTTTGTAATCCATTTTGTCAAAACGTGAGATATAAATAAATAAATATTATTAGAGTAGTCAATGTCAGCTAGTCAAATCCTTACTGTGCGATGGCGGATATATCTTGACATCATGTATCCTGTACTGCTTTCCTAGGTCCACCTTCCACAAACCCCATGTATTATCAGCTGCGTGGAAACAGGAGCCGTTGTACACGTTCTGGTCCCTGTTCCCATCTACAGCTTTGTCCGCGCTCCATGCGTCTGTATACAGCCCAGTAGGGGAGGAGGCCGTTCTTCTGTAGGCAACATTTTCTGTGTCATGAAAATATTTCTCCAATGATTAAAGTGTAAATCATCAAATACAAAAATCCAAACATCTATATATGGTATCTTTAAAGGCAGACACGTCAATAGAACAGCGCGTCAGTTAGCCGTGAACGAGGATTGTGCATTTAGGTTACCGACATCGTTTGTTCCCTGCCTTAGATTTATCGTCGTTAAGAATTTAATTTAGCATCTTAAGAAAGAAATACAGATCGCTCTACCCCTATTTATAGTGTAATAAAGTACACTTTGGCAAGTATCCCGGGCTGTTTAAAGGGATCTCTGTGTCTTCAATGACAGAAGTCCATCAGTGGGTCCACAACACTTCATTCTGGATTCAATATGTATACCTACATGAAGTTACAACAATGACTAGGCGGCATGTCGGAGGCGATGGTCAGCCAACCTGCCTAGTCGCTGTCTCAGGGTCAAGTCTCGACTAACACAAAGCATTCTCAATTTATCCCTAAGGGTCTGATCAGACTGTAACGTGTCGCATTTACGACAGATGTGTGGTCAGCCTGCAGTATCCCGCACCTCATCCACAATGTCATAATTCAGTTGCCAACCAGCATTTGTCTAACTTTGATTATAGGCAGCTAATGACTCTATGGTGGTGGCCATGATAACAATGGTCAAGTTGTGTTGATTTCATTTCCATTGACAGCATGGTCATTACTTAGAGAGATATTCAATTTGCATAACTCAAGGAATATCATAATTATCCCTGATAAACACTGTTCAAACGTGCCTACGATACAAGGTTCTCGTCCTTTAACTATAGTAGTTCAGGGCAAAAGTGTACTTTATTACACTATACAAGGGCGTAGCGAACTGTATTTCTTAAATACAGCGAACTGTATTTCTTGAATACAGCCTTGACCATGTCGATGCTTATATTTCAAGGTCATTGTTAGATGTAGTTATTCAAAACGTATGAACAGTGATTTAGGCAGTCGAAAATATTAATTCAGGACATTAACAGATATTAACATGATACCTTTCTGACAGTTAGCACCATGTCCTCCAACCCAGCCATCGTCACAGCCGCCTCCACAAGCTCCAGTCTTCTGGTTACACGAGTCTCCACAGTGACAGGTGTAGAGGCAGGATTCACCAAACTTTCCTGGTGAGCACGTACCTTTAGGACATGCATGTTCGTGATTAGTAACGGCATATCTAAACATGCCGTAACTATTTCCGCGTAGACATATTCGATGATTCTTATTGCTTATATCTTGAAAACAAAGGGATGCATCTTGTGATGATGAAACGACGAAACAGAATAAGAAATATCTCACGCATCAGTGACAAAGCGATGTCCAATGCCATTCCCTATTTGAACTTGTACTATTCGTTTTCGTATATATTCAAGCGAACAATTGACTAGCATTCCCATGTGTTTATGACTGATGGGCAACTTGTCGTGGTGTTCATTACCACATGCACATGATATAGTAGGAATTGTACAAGCAGAGATTTCTTGTGGATGTAAAAAGCAGTTCTGACGTAGCAAAAATAGCGAAAGTGCAGTAAAAAAGTAAAAAGGCGTACATTAATTTAATGAAAATCACGTCATAAACTCTTTAAAAAGAAAAATAGAGTGTATCACGCGCGAATGATATTGGATGATAAATTTCCTGCTTTAGGAATATACACTGTGAGTAAATAAATTGACGAACGTACTACTTAGCTAAGTATTTAATTAACTCATTAATTAACGGCTAAATCCATTCATTTGTAGCTTCAAAGCCAAGTGCAGGGCATTTGCAAATATGGGAACACAAATTAACAAGCTAAAATTATTAGTCATTGAGACTATGATAGAACAGGCAATACTTTTAGACAGTGAAGTAATTTTCCGAAAAAGTTGAAACGACAATTGTCTTGGCATAACTTTCAAGGTGATTCTTTTAAAAATACTTTATAAGTGATTGCATTTCGCGGCAAGCCATTCCACCCGCCAGTAATACTCATTCCGCCCGCCGGGTAATTCTCATTTACTTAAGGGAAGCAACTCTAGTTTATGGAAACGAGAGGGGAGCGAGAATGGTTCTTATGTTCCAGCAATTTGACAGTCGGGGAAGGGAATCGAATCCGGGGTTTTGGCGTAAACAGCAACAGCTTTAACCACTAAGCCACTCCATCGACCATTGAAATTACTTTTGGCTTACGCCTGACAATGTCGCAATTTAAATATATTCATATTGTGCATGTAGAAAATGATAAAGTTATAACGTTTGTAACAAAAACCATTTCGAAAATGAATGTTCATTTCTGATATTGTCTTGTTCATAGCCACCGTACGCAAAGTTAAGGAAATAGCGTGACATAAACAAACAACAACAATAAAGTCAATAAAGTCAGTGATAATAATGCTCAACGAGCAGGAACTGTGGTGAAGCTTACGAGACAGACAAAAGCTAATATCCAGGGCCTATATTTTCGAAGCTCTCTTAGCGTTAAGATAGTCGTAAGTTAATGTTAATGTATGGCACTTACGACTATCTTAGCGCTAAGAGAGCTTCGAAAATATAGGCCCAGGGTGATATATTATCTTTCCTAAACAACTGGTCTACTGATGATAAGCGCTTGTCCCATTATGTAGTTCAATACCCGCTAGACAGTTACAGTTAAACACCACTGAAGAAACATACGTAAATATATCGAGTTATCCGAGGTTTGAAACAGCCACAAAGTTCGACAATAGGTGTTTGACTATTCTATGCTGTATAAGTCTACAGTATTTCAAGAAGATTCCAGATTGAATATTACTCCAGAAGCATCTAAATATAGTAACTCCAGCACCACTGATTACATTGTAATACATGCCTACATAGATTGCCTATCACAATATTGAGAACGTCTACTGAATCTTAACAGAAACAACATAATACAGTTACAACATTCAATCGCAATTGCATAACCGTATCATGAAACGATGCTTAACAACACACGTCTTTGCTTGAATTACAAGCAATACAAGTAAAATAACTGTACAGAGACACTACATCTACTTAAACAGCATCTTCATCATGATATATGTTCCCATGTTAGCAACTTTCTATTTCTTTAGTCATTTTCCTGATACAAATGTAAACATGTAATACTTTTAATCTTATTTTTAAATTGTCATCAGCAAATATAAACAGAAGCACACGAATAACATTTGGACGTACTCCGAAGTGAGTAATCATAGATAATGGCTGGTTTTACTGGTCCCGACTTATGCCGGTATTATGACTGTTGCCCACTGAGGTACCAAGCTCATTGACACCCAACTCCCTACACTCACTCCAGGCCGGCGATTCATTATAGTTATTCCATCAGCCCCTAGGCACGGTAGCAACAAGTATCTTGTACATCTGTTGTACTAGTGTGTGTGTGTGTGTGTGTGTGTGTGTGTGTGTGTGTGTGTGTGTGGTTGATTCTCAAATCCGCCATTTTGTTTTTATGACGTAACATAGGTGTGACCTTTGTGTGACCCATCCTCCTTCGGGAGTCCCCCTTCCGGTGTGTGTGTGACCTTCAGGTTGAGTCTCAAATCCGCCATTTTCTTTTTATGACGTATCAAAGGTGTAACCTTTGTGTGACCTAATCGATTGTTGAACCCCACCCTCCTTCAGGAGTCCCCTACCGGTGTGTGAGTGTCACCTTCAGGTTCACCTTAGTAGTCTGTGATTATTATTCAATTATCTTATGAGTGGTATGAGTTTGCCGACTCGAGTGTTCACACAGCAAACGTTAGACTAATGCTTAGTATCTGAATATATATAATTTTGATAGTAACAAACAAGCCCATTTAAATTGAAAAGGAGCCCTAAGGACACCAGAGATTCAGAACCTGAGGAAATCTAGACTTGCTTTATTTAGGGTTTTATCACTGCGGAGAGGGCATGTGGCAGTAGGGAAAATAATGTGGTTCAGGGACAATGAGACAGACATAGCATACGTGTTCAACGTAGAATTAATATCACACAATGAGGGGGAATTTAGCTGCTATTTATAAGGTCAAAATATCAGAGCGCATTTTGTTAAATTACTAACCAGATTCAAATACGCTGTCACACAAGGAACAAGTATTTATTTTACATATCTGTCAACAGTAAACGTTTGTAGCTGTTAAAATTCATGTGGGCCCGTATATGCGTGAATGGGGCGCAGTCTATGCACTGCTGTCAGTACTAACTGCAGAATCGCTTGCTCGCTGAGCCGTAACTGAAGAGACATGTGACCGCTGTGATTGGATGAAATAGTGTAAGGTGTTATGTTTGTTAAAATCCATCTAGTCATTAAAACAGACCACCATTTTAAGTATTTCATGCTGTCATTTTTATCACTTATGCTCATGTGTGTACAGATATGTTCAAGTAGGTGGCAGTTGGTGCAGGCTTCGGAGGGTTGATGTGTTTAGCTTCCTGTGTGTGGCATCCTGTGCTCGCAAAGTTAGCCGGTTCAAGTTGACCAGAAATTGTTTTATTGTAATTTTAAGGTCAGACTGTAATCATGTGTACATGGTTGTTGATTATTTTCAGCGTGATGTAGTGTCACAAATGGTCAGCTTCCGTTGTTTAAAGATAAGACTGTAATCATGAGTGCATGGCATGGATAATTTTCAATGTGATGTTGAATGTATGCTGACAAGTGGTCAGCTTCCGTTATGTAGGAAGTGTCTGACCGGAATTAAAGACAGGAAATAGTAAGCAGTTGAGGACTGATGGTCACTGAATATCTCAAGTAGTTGGTTGTACAGTGATGAAATGATTTAGCATTTGTCATATATACTGAGTCAAAAAAAGAAACTTCACATTATTTCTTCATGGCACTATAAAAGAACAAGAGATGGTAAGATTGTTAAATTGTTATTATTTCATTGCTGAGATATGTGTGATGTACTCGATACACTGACAGTGCCATAATCAGTTCCATTAGGCTACACCGCCGTTCCAAAACATGGGTATACAGAATGTCAAGTCACAAGAATATAAATGCGAAATTTCTCAGTCCAATAACGTGAATGGCCGCCCCGCGCAATCACCACTGCCAAACACCGTCTCCTCATCGACTGCCTGATGCTTGTGAACACATGGTTGGGGATTCTGCGCCATTGCTCTTGCAAGGCAGCGCCAAGTTCCTGCAAATTCTGAGGTTGGTTCCTAAGACGACGAAGCCTTCTCCCAAGTGCATCCCAAAGGTGCTCTATTGGATTAAGGTCAGGGGACCTCGATGGCCAGTCCATGACGTTGATTCCAGCGTTTTGAAGGAAATTTCGTGTCAACATCGCGGTATGCGGCCGAGCATTATCATGCTGGAACTGTAGACCTGGGCCATGAGCCGCCATGAAAGGAACGAGTTCAGGGGTGAGCACCTGGTCACGGTAAGCAGCAGCTGTGAGGTTTCCACGGATGACCAGAAGTCGGGAACGGTTGTTCTCACAGAAAGCACCCCACACCATGCAACTTCCGCCCCCGAATCTGTCGACTTCCTGTACACAACATTGGGCATACCGTTCACGACGTCGTCTCCAGACTCTATGCCTGCCGTCCGCGTACGTTACGTTGTGGTTTTATACTGTTTCACATCCTCTTCTGGGATCCATGAATTTTTAGACCATTGGAACCATTTTACTAACGCTTCTTTTCGTATATTTCTGGTCCTCATTTTGACAATGTCTTGAATTCTATACTCCTGATCAGGATTTTCTACCACTGCTTGTAGCTCTGATGAATAAAAAGGCAACTTCGATAGTATCACCACCCCAATCTTTCAATTTGTACAAGTCGTTACCTTGAGACCAATATCTTCTTATTACTGTAAAAATTTCACCAGACCATTTCTCTTGATATTCCCTGTCAAAAGTTCTCTTCAGATGACTCACTCTGACGTTATCCCCCACTTTGAAAGTAAACTCTTTTTTATTGTGTTTAACTTTTTGGGGGTTTAATCAAATACTGAGAGTCTCCCTTCCTTTTCATCTTTCTCAGTCACACTAGCAGGAGACTGTCCTAACATTCCATGTTTAGTGTGATTGTAACTCTTGACTACATCTGGTAAGATATCCACATACCTGTAGGTAAAGTGTTTCAACATGTATCGATACAATCTCATTTTAATAGTTTTAAGCACTCTCTCAGCATAGGGGGCCTTGGTTTCATTCAGTGTAAACAGCTGGGTTACCTTGTGCTTTTTCAAAGAGGCTTTTACCGACCGATTCTTAAATTCTGAACCCATGTTGGATTGAAAAATACCTGGCCTACGATCTTGTGTCTTCCATAAGTGGGTCAATGCTTTCACCACTTCTTGTCCCTTTGTAGATTTGAGTGGATACAACCATAGATATCGTTAAAATAGATCTATGATGACTAATAGGTATTTAACACCAGTGATACCATATCCATCAGATCGGATTGCCAGTGACTGTCTGAACCTTCCACCACATACTCATTTCTTGGAAATATTCTTCTGATTTGATGAGTCATAGTATAGTTCTCCTGACCTTTCAACCATTTCTTAATTCGATGTAAACCAATTTTAAACTGACCCTCTGCTTTCACAGCTTCGTACAACTTCTTTGGTCCAGCATAACTACCAATGGGTTTTGAATCGTAATAGATCCTATTTAGGTATTGTTCCCAAGGTGCTATCTCAAACAAGACTGAACATGTTTCACATACATCATGCTATTTAAACAAAACCCAAGACAAAAATACAATACAAGAATTGTATCTATATCAAGCACAATATTTACAACAACAACAACAACCTTTCACAGACAGGTTTTCCCCCGGCCATTTCCAGGGTTTGTCAATATCAGAATGAGAAACATCAATTCCTATCCCCCATCTTTTATCAAAGGGGCTAGCTTCAGCTAACGGTTTAGGGTAGGATTGAATCAATATCTGTTTCAAGTCACTGTTTTGGGAAAATTTAGCCATTAATGCCTAGTCATAACATCAAGACTGACAGTGTCCCACACTTTCTGAGTAAAGCCTTTCACACATCTCCCAAGACGTTTGCTTAGCAGGAACAGTCTCTTGTGAAATACGACTTGCGAGTGTATGATCACCAAAGTAAATTGCCTTAGAATACATGTAATATTGTTCAGTACAATTGAAGGTGCGATTATCTATGTGTAATGTGCATGAATGAAAATTACTGAAGGGGGACTTCCATCCATTGAAAAATAGTCAGTTACTCCAACATTCATAGTCATTGGGATTACAGAAGGAACACATCTGGTTTTGATGATCGTCCTGAAGGAGACAGGGAACCATGTCTTTGAGTTCGGGCACGAAATCTGTCATCACATCACAACAGTCTCTCAGTTTCTTCCACTGGTCCAGGGACAACAAGATATCCTTAACTGTAGGTACCACTCTTCCCAGTTGTTCATTTTTCTCCCACTGTCGTACATCCACACCACCATTTGGATCCAAAGTAGCATACATATTGGTTCCCACATGAGCATAATCATGGGTCCTTCCTTGATCGATGACCTCCAGAAGCTTGAAATGGACTCCACTAAGTTCCAACCAATGTTTCAAACTCAGGACAATACCACGTTTGGAAGGATAACTTCTCCCACCAGGATAAACATTGTACTTCCTTACATGAATGTTCAGTACATCATTCCACATCTTGGCCATCACAAATACGTCGTTGCCTAAGTCTATATGACAATGAGGATCCTGTAGCTCTGTCTTGTCTGTCTCTAATCCCAACATTGCATGGCCTGCATCTCTCCGCATTCCTCCAAAGCTTTACAGAAGAGGGTGTAGGCTTCTGGTCCCCGCCTGGGAAGGGTATCTAATAAGGCTCTGACCCGGTCAAAGGAGGTTTGTGGTTTTTCGATAATCTCTGCCTTAATGAAGATGGTAAGGACTTTAAAATGTAACAGTTTGTCGACCACCTCTTGTACATGCTGTATTGCTTGCACTAGGCAGGAGTAATTCTTCCTCAGGATATCACGGTGAACGGCTTCCATCTTCAAGGTAAACGGAATCAGTAGAGTCAAGAGCATGCGTGCATTGTCTCTGGCGACTGAATGACATGGGGACTGTTCGGGGGCCTTATATTGCCTGCACACGAGTCTAAAAATACCTCTGGGAAAGAACCACAGTGAGTTCATTGTGGAAAAGAGGTCTACCTGAAGGTCACACACACACACACACACACACACACACACACCGGAAGGGGACTCCCGAAGGAGGATGGGTCACACAAAGGTCACACCTATGTTACGTCATAGAAAGAAAATGGCGGATTTGAGACTCAACCCCCCTAGTACAACATACATCCATTGTTCAAGAGATCATATGTATTCCCTTCTCAGCAGGCGCATGCTTCATCAAGCCGTAATTAAAAGTTACCATCTTAGCACCCCTTTCTCCCTTTGTAAGTGCTATTATTATGGTTACCAGATAGACATGTTTGACCACACCTACACTATAATTAAAAAACCCTGTTGTTGGTAAAATCGGGATTTTCCTCTTAACATCTACTTCCTGCATGTACTTTGACAGCATAGAGCAGATAATACATCTTGAATTATTACATCAGAGAAATTGTCAATGTTAAACGGATACAACTGCGAGGTATAAAATCCTTGTTTTTGTCCACCTCAGACACGTTTGCTTGAATAAACCCAATAAACTAATTGCCTCTCTTGTTTCAATGCAAGCTCCCAGCTAATTCCCCAAATCGAGGCCTCACAGTAGTTTTACCTCACATGGAACAAGTGGTTGTCTTTGAAGGATAAGTCCATATCATCGAAGCAGCATGGATACGGCACATCGGTATTATATCAATGATATTAAACAACACATGTGCTTGTACATTTCAATGCGAATCGTCAAAATTTGACGCTCCAGCAGTTCTTAAACACATATTTGAAGCCTGAAGTTGACCAGGTCAAATTGACTGAAACCTATCTCGCGCTGCAACAGTGTTACCATGTGGTAAACGAAAACGTTTCTCATTAACAGTTGATTTATGAGACAAGTTGACATGCAGAAAACCACACACTGAAAACTAACTGATAACTTACCTGATATAAGCTGTATCAAGTAGGCTGACGACACAACACCGACTGTCAGTATCCGGACACCCGCCATGTTTGACAACCAGGAAGTTGTTTCCGCCTTGCTGTCAAGCTGGGATACATCTATTGCCACAGCAATATCCAAAACGCATGGATTTTTTTGGTCATTGACCATGTGAGTAAAACATCGAAGGCTCCAAATGCAACACAGCATCCGTTATGTCAACACTTCAAACAAAGTACATGTTGGGTGGTCTTCCACTTCTCAGAACATAAGTAATATTCAAGGGTATACAACGTTGGCATTTTTCACACGTTTATGGTCAATTAAGAAATCTTGTTGGTGTGTCATGGTTAGAGTGCCTAGATAAAGGTAGGGTAAGACTTCTGGATGTGACGAGGCTTACATGCTTCCTGAGTGTGCATCATTTCACAACACAACTTGTATAAACTTCATTGGCTGAACTGGTCTTTGATGTCAATGGCACTTTCATGCAGGATACCTACGTTGTGTGAAGCTCCTGGTCGGACTGTGTGTACATCTTGGACTGCAAAATCTGATAGGTTCGGATGATCTATGTTTCACATATTTTCACGAGTGGGACAAACTGACTTGTGGTGTAACATATTTTCCATAATTATGCCTTCAGGAGTAAGTGGGTTTACATGTTACACCGAAGGGGAAAATACTCAACTCGGCTGAAATATCCCAGGGGTACATAAAGAGGGCTGTAGACATCGAGCTGACACCCTGTTTGAGATAAAGTACAGGTAAAAGCAGCGCTGAACCGAACACCTAATCATTACTGCGCATGACTATAACTCCTTTTTCGTGACTCAAGTCAATCCAAAGAAGTCATTCTGGGGATGTAAGCTCTAATGACTATGTAATAATATAGACACACATAAGGTTTCTGACTAATACCTGGGGGTGATTTGGATATCAGACGTTACATTGTTATAGCATATACATGTATATATTATTCATGTACATATTGCTACAAAGTGATAAAAACCCATTGTGTTATTATGACGGGTGTCCCAACATTTATCCTTGTTCCTGCGCCTGGTGTCATCCAGTATACAGTATTTACTGCATTGTGGTTCATTCCAAACGAGTTTTTTTCTTATTCCTCGATACAATGTAAATGTCTCTTTTCAAGCCTTTCATAATGTGTGCACTGCATTTCAACACTGAAATACCACAATGAGTTTTAGTATAGATTCTGTGTGAATCCACAGTTTGACTAGCGACGTAAGCACATGCTTTCCCAAATCAGATACTGCTGGGTGTATTAGGGCAATCGTGTTCAAGTTGTATATTTCCTGTCACAAATGTGAATGTGAAATGTTGCTTTTGAAAACGAGCTTTTCACAAGTTACGGATTTACGAGGTCATATTCATAAGCATATCTCAGTTACACAATATGCTGATATGCTGATATGCTAATATGTATTTTGAGGGCATCCATATTTTCAATAGACTGACTGACTGACTGAGTTTGGTTTTACGCCGCTTTTAGCAATATTCCAGCAACATCACGGCGGGGGACACCAGAAAATGGGCTTCAAACACTGTACCCATATTTTCAATAGAAGCGACAAAACCCTTTCCACATTCATAAGAAATATCTGACAAAAGCAGAGTCTATTGTACAATTGTGACTATATCATGAACAGCACTGGTAACGAAAAGCTGAAATTATTTACTTTTATTTGTTTTGATTTCTGTTGAGAGGAAGGTCAAGCCGACATTTTGACTCGACCAAGCCTGTCGATAGATAATCACGCACATTTTCAGATTTTCTGTTTAGACAGATTTTCTATTTAGTCTCAATTTTGTTTCATGCATGCTATGTGAAACGACTGTGTAACTCTCTCAGTAATCAAATAATAAAAAATGTCGAAGTCTTAGGGCTGTTCGTCCGACCAAGGTTTTACAGAAGCAATGGGTTGAGATGCGAACGGTAGCCTAGTCGTCTGGGGTGACGCATATTTATCTACAGAGTTACCGAATCCTGTGATCAACAGTACACGTGTTTCTCCAAAAATACATGTCAAAGGTCTGCCTTACTACCGATACTACGCCAAGGATATGTAGGGATATTATTCATGTATACACTCGTTCATACAGACGCTGGGTACATGCATGAATTCGTGTTGTTGGAAGTGTAAATACATTAAGTAATGTTTATCTAGCTTTGTGACAGGCCGTGTTATTCTTTCCCTGTTAACGTTATTAGGACATTTCATAGTGGCCTAGACCCTTGTGAATTGCCTATGGAGTTGAACAGCCTCCCCGTAGTCACCAATGGTGAGTGTGTAGGTGACTTACTTTCAATGTGGTAGCATCAGTCTGCAGGTAAACGTCGGTTTTTGCATAAATAACCCTCTGTCAATAACTCCCTGCAATAGCGTTGTGATTTCTACCACCAGAGATGGTTGTGTAAATTCTAAAATCATACTGCACAGTAAGACCGCATTTGTTTGATACCTATGATTACTTCCAATCAACACCACAACGTATCACTCACAAAGCATATGCGTTCCCAATCTAACACACTTACAATAAAAGAATTATGGAAATTCTTTGACAATCCGCTCTTACAAAAAAATTCGAACTGTTTTCAAAGCTGTATACCATAATACACTTATCTCAACATGTGTTATGTTTGGGTACAACCACCGCGGCTTCCACGACTGAGCGGGTTATTCTAATGTTTATTCTAATGACAAGGCACAAAACTTGTCATGCTAAAACGTTCATCACTGTTGAAAAAAATACAAGGAAAAAACCTACAATTTGCTGGCAAATATGGATCTGAATCTAAATGCGTGGGTCGATTCTGAAAAGATTCAATGCGATTTGTATTCAAACTGACATTGAAACTTGTTAGTTGACACTGAATCTGTTCGAACCGACGACAACTCAATCACGAGGCTGGGCAAAACGTATTTATCATTTTTTACAACACCCAAGACGTTTTAAAACCACTATGGGAATTTTTGTGTTAGGTTTAGCGTAGTTAATACATAATATGTTTTCGTAAAGACTTCTGGGTTAACTGTTCGGTTTAATCATGAATCGACAATTAACACTATTAAACTTATTCCTAATAGATTAAGATTGACATAAACTAGACTATGTAATTACTGAAACGAAGTTCTTATCAGCTTAAATGAATTATGTTGAAAACTATATCAAAGCAACTGTTGTCAATATCTAAATAACAAGTTTCAGCTGGAACAATATTGTCTGTTGTTACAGTCGAAATGACTAATGATATCGGTTTGCATAAACATTGAAAAAGAGCAATATTCGCTAAAATGGTGTCACAACTGTTGAAAAAATATATTTTAATGATATATTTTCAGATGATCTTTGCCTTCAGTTTTGACAAATTGTCTTTAACCCCTGAAGATATATATGTGAGTAGCACAGTCGTTCTGATGAACACGTCTTGTGAACCGGTTGTCGCATATGGCCGACCAAATCGAGTTTTGTCATTAACGTTATTTGTCTGTCTCGAAATGGTGATTATAATTCACTAATTACCGTCTGATAAACGTTAAGAGCTCTTGCCAAAATATGTCCTGTTCCAACTTCAATTTTGCCAGTTGCACGTAACGTAACAGAGGCACCATCTCAAAAAACGTTTAACTGAGTTTCAATTCAACAGTCAGTCTGTTTTTTATCTCTGAAATGTACACGCAGCCACAATAACACGTTTCACGCGTGTACGAAATTGGCCTGTTTGCGCGAAATTCATAACACATTGTGAATGAAATGTTCCATGTATAAATTGTACAACTTGATTCCCAAATAGTATCCCCCCAAAATGGCATGTCCCCTGGTTCTTTCACTCTATATTTAGACGAATAAAAAAAACTCGTATTACGGGTTAGCTGTCATTTGAGGGCTTACAGAAATAATACACTATCGCATGACGTTATCACTCTTTGGTCATCCTCCATTTTAACATGATTCATGTTTATCAATTACCACTTTGTTTAAAGGTGGGTTCATTCTGTTACATGTTCAGTTCAGAAATAAAGTGATAGTGAGTCAGTCCACAACAATAGAGGATATCTGCCAATAGCAGAGTCGACTGTAAGATACGGACTACAACATTCACATGTTGTTTATGAATCTCTATGAAATAGTATTGATACCACTAGTTCGGAAAAGGTGAGCGTAATCGTGGCACTGGTCATGGCACATACGTGGCACATACATGCAAAGGCTAATCAATGGTTCACCTCGAAAAACACACGGAAATATATGGTACAAGTCAAAATAGGCAGTTCCATATGTTTCCATATGTCTACTATAAAACTTTTTGAAAGGTTTGAAGCATTTGAATGTTGTAACAGCATCTGAGCTAAAATGCTCTTTGAAATCCTGGTGAAAATAGCATACTCGATTGTACCTGCGCGGTCGTGAAACGTCAGTTGATGTATCACGTATAATGGGTCAAGCACTTAAGCAGACCAGCGGTTTAGGGGAGGTATTATATCACTCCTTATCAAGGATATCATGCCTTTGTCTGTTTCGGAGGTTTGACCACAGTTTCTGCTCGTTGAATGTTATTATCACTGACTTTACTGCTTTGTACCTACAAAGTTTTGAAAAGTCAGTTATTGATGTATTACGTTGTTTTGGAGGTATTATTTGCATTATTCATAACATATGCCTATACGACAAAAGCTATTTTCTAATTCTTCACATCACGAACATGTGTGTCACAAAGGAGAATGCCAACCAGGAAAGTTTGGTGAATCCTGCCTCTACCCCTGTCACTGTGGAGACTCATGTAACCATCAGACTGGAGCTTGTGGAGGCGGCTGTGATGCTGGCTGGGTTGGTGGACATGGAGCTAACTGTCAGAATGGTCTGAAGTTAATATCTATACATTTTACTGAATGAACAACACTGTAAACTTGTCGACTGTTAAAGCACTGCTTAAATGTTCAGAATAAGCACAATCAGAGCCACCTCTTTACTATATATTAAACAACAGAATGAGACGCCATGCCAAAAATATGATAACAATTGGTTGCAGAAATAGTTCATCTAATTTACTTTCCAAAAACGGAAAATATTGCCTACAGACGAAACGCCTCCTCCCCTACTAGGCTGTATACCAATTCATGGTCTGCGGACCAAGCTGTAGATGGGACCAGGGACCAGGATGTGCACCACGGCTCCTGTTTCAACGCAGCTGACAAGACATGGGGGGTTTGGGGACCATGGACCTGGGAATGCAGTACAGGATACATGATGTCAAGATATATCAGCCATTGCACGGTAAGGATTTACTAAATGATATTAACAACAACTATTTGTAAGATATTCACTTTTTGTATTTCTCTAATTTTGACAAAATAGGTTACAAATGATGCCTAAATAGTAGCATTTACATGATTCTGATACATTCTTATATCATCTTATCTAAATAAATGTTTCTTGGAAAATGTCAAAACTGAGACAATAGACACACTCTTAAACTTCACTATTTTCTTTCGTTTAATGTATGAATGCAAATATCACTAATTGTAAATGAGATTAAAAATGTATAAATAATAGCTGGTCGGTTTTACTCCGGAAATATCTTTTAAGATCCAGGAAGAATCCGGTCTTATGTGCTCTATTTGAGTAACAAATCCTCAGCGGGCCTTCCTTGCTATGCCTTCCCATCTGACGCCCCTGTCAATAGTATCGGGGTCTACAGTGCAACATGTGATGGCATTGGAAGATATTTCTCAATATCAAACACCTCATTCCTCAATATGTGTGAGGTCGAGATATACGGTAGGAGTCTACTGCGGTTCTATTTGGTTACTGTTCATATGTTTCATAGCCCCAAGCAATCTGTAAAATATCAATTTTCAAATAATTTATGAATTTAAGGCTGTAATCTATAAGGTCATGGTCTTTTCTGAGCCTTAACAGATAGATACAAGTTTAATAATTACGTATGTGTTGATGTATGTGAAGACATCGTCAGTGGACTGGGCGTACATCTGTGAACGATGCTACTTTTGTATTACAGGCCACATACATACTTTTGCCATAATCGGACATTTATCGACCATTTGCTAATGATAAAATGAGCTTGGCTTGATTGCGGTAGTTGTCCATGATATAGGTGAATTTACATCAGCAGGATATTGTGTTTTCAGGAAGTGTACATGTAAATGCAGTGTGTCTATTTTCGGCAAATTTACGAAGTTAGCAAATCGGCTATAACATTAAATGAAATGGAATACCTCCATGAAATTCAATTCATAGATGTGTTCATAATATTGTATTCATCAAATAACATTTACAGACGGCATATACAACTGAAGGAGTTAATTTTTTGAAGGTCGGTAATGTAGTCGGCATGGTATCTCAGTGGGCTAGCACTATAAAACCAGCTTAAGTCTGGGCTAGAACAAGCAACCGCACATACAAATACACACGCATGCACGTCGTCATATGAGCGAAATATTCTCAAGCGCGACGTTAAACCCAATTTCACCTCACCTCACGAACCTCAGCCTGAATTCATAGTACACGTGGTAGGAAGATGTCATCGATCACGGAAGCGCTGTAACCATTCACCTAAGGAGGCCAACTATCACGCGGAAATATATAGAGGTTGTGACAGATATGATTGACAGTATTAAACCAAAGAATACAAATGTCTGCAAAAGGAATAATTTTCTTAATTGCCAAAACATTAATAATAAACTCTGTCAAAAAAGAAACGCAACCCCTGTATTTTAGAGATTTTGATCTGAAGTTTTAGGACGACACGGCATTTTTATTATTTAAGACAGAAGTCTGAAATTTGGCAGAATAATAACCCAGATGGGCATGTTTAAAATTATCATTTCAAAGGTCATCTCACAGACACCAGTTTGTCACCAGGGGGGCGTCTTTCTCAGTATCTCGTATGAGCACCACGCGCTGCAATCACTGCACGGCATCTCCTTGGACAAGAACGGATAAGACGCCGGATTCTTTCCTGGGGAATGGCTCTCAACTCCTCCTGCAGTGCAACGGCGAGCTGTTGCAGCGTCTGTGGCGGCGGCTGACGTTGACGTACGCGTCGATCCAGAGTATCCCACAGGTGTTCAATAGGGTTGAGGTCTGGTGATTTAGAGGGTCATGGCAAGACATTGACGTTGGAATTCTGCAGAAAGTTATTGCACGTGCAGTATGAGGCCGGGCGTTGTCCCGTTGAAAAATCTGTGTCTGTTGGTCAATAATCGGGAGAAGGTGAAGCTCTAACACGTGGTTGATGTAACGTTGGGCTGTCAGGTTCCCTGGAACGATCACCAAGTCTGATTTCTGGTTGTATGAGATGGTTCCCCAAACCATGACGCTTGCTCCGCCAAATCTGTCCACCTGTCGGACGCAGATGGGCGCAAAACGTTTATGACGTCTCCTATACAGACGCTGTCTTCCGTCGTGACGTTGCAAAAGAAAACGTGATTCATCAGAAAACCAGATTCGCCTCCAGTTTTGTAAAGTCCGTATCCTTACGTTGTTGCACCACCTGAGTCGTCGGCGTCGATGTACGGGGCGTAGTACAGGTCCAACAACTGGTCTACAGGCACGTAAACCCGCTTCTTTCAGACGGTTCCTAATCGTTTGAGCTGACACTCTCCTCAAACCTGGTATTTGTGTGGCAGTCACGGTTGGTAGGGCATGCCGATTACGCAGGTGATGGACCCGATGTACCGATCTTGAAGAGGGGTCGTGATTCTGGCCTTCCACTTCTCGGGCGATCGTTGGTCAAATTGAAGTTGTTGTAGCGGCTCCAAAGTCGGGATATCGTTGTTTTGTGAACATTTAGGTGCCGTGCAACAGTTCCAAAAACTTTCTCCGGCTTGAACACGACCAATGGCGATATTTCAGTCGGCAGCACTCAATCGTGGCATTTTAACACAGCTTTTCGGCGACAAATGAATGAATATAATACGGAAGCACATGGGCTTTTATACACCCCTACATTAACTGCCATTTTCATGATTTGCATGTGGTTTTTTTGTGCGAAGTCACCATGAGGGTCATTTCATGCGTTGTGACGGAATAAGCAATAAAATACACTTATGCGTACAAATGCAGTTGTTTGGATGGCAATCTTCATTAATTACGTGTATCATTTCAATACATTCGAATAAAATTTAGTTTGGAAGCAATAACTTCATTCAAACGAATTTTTCATATCTGAGGACAGGGGTTGCGTTTCTTTTTTGACAGAGTTTATTATTTGTCAGTGACCTAATTGTCATGGCGGCTGAAGGTGTTATTTCATTCCCACTTTTTTTTAATTCTGCAAAGCAAACCACTTAAATGAACCATACAGGAGACTTAACTGAATTGTAAACTTCAAATTCACTCTTTTGGCAAAATAAAACTATTTGGCTGGATGCCATGCACTAATAATTTCCGCCAAATGTGTGTACGAAACTGGTAACTGAATTCATACTAAAAAAGTAGGAACACGTCATCGTAAACGGAATATGCACTTCACACAAACCAGCGGAAAAATTGAAGTTCTGTGAACGGTATGACTGCCAACCAAGGAATAAACAGTGTCTGCAAAATGTCCTAAATTGTCACAGTATATCAGTGACCTAATTGTCATTAAGGGTAAAAGTGTTGTTTCAGTTCCAGCGTCTTTACCTCAGCAAAACAAGCCAGTCGGAGGGGAGGAAATACTGATACCTGCAGTGACAGTGACAGCAATCGTAGCAGCAGCAGTTGCCGTCGGTGTTATCATCTGGAGAAGACGAAGGTAACGGATTCCAACCATATTCAATTATCTATTACATTTCCCAAACATGAGTGGTGGTACAACGAGTAAAAAAAGGAAAAGACACTGGATAGTAATGCAATTACGCTATTTGTGTTTTAACCTAGGGTGTTGATGTGAAGAGGCATGAATTAATGTAGAGACGATTCTGCTGCTGATTGTTTATGTCTCCTTATGTTTCAGAGCAGCATTGCAGAGACCCGAATCTCACGATTACTACAACACAAGTCATCTCTCGAAACCTGAAACAAAACAATCATGAGAAAACGAAGAAACTAACCTTGAAGCAGGAACGTATGAGTGCCTCAATGGAATGTCAGATAACAATCAAGGCTATGCAGAGACATATTGCACGCTCAACACAGACATGCTAGGTGACGGGGCATCTGATGAAGTGGCTGAACAGGAAGGTGACGACATATACGAGCCAACAGAGCCACGCACGTATGAAACGCTTGTCAGCACATCACGTGACATGGATGGTGACTATACTAAATTGAATAACGATATTAATACGACCTAATACCTTCACTCGTCTCACTTTATCTGTGCCGATAAGGAGTGAACTGGAAGAGGACTGCTTTTTAAATCTGGTCTCGTATCTCTATCTATTGATAGAGGTCTAGTTGTTGTCTATTTGTTTTTTAACGCAACACACAGCAATAATCCAGCTATATGGCGACGGTCTGTAAATAATCGAGTCTGGACTAGACCACCAAGTGATCTACAACATGAGCACCGATCTACGCAATTGGGATACGATATGTGTCAACCGAGTCAGCGAGCCTGACCACCCGATCCCGTTAGTCGTATCTTAGAATGGGTACAATGTGTGAAGCCCATTTCTGGTGTCCCCCGCCGTGATGTTGCTGGAAGATTGCTAAAAGCGGCGTAAAACCAAACTCAGTCAGTCAGTCAGTCAGCGTATCTTAGAAGCATGGGTTGCTGAAGATCAATTCTAACCCGGATCTTCACTGGTAATTGATTGAGATCTAGTGTATGGACAATATAACACCATTGACATGCATGTCGCCATGTTATCATGTGACTTTGTAACACTAGTATTCGATTCCATTAGTATATTTTGCTTTGACAGATATACTCGTAGTTGCCTATGTGGTTATCCCACGTACCAAAATCCAAACCTGTTTTAAAACATAATTTACACCGTCACAGTTGAAGATTTGAGGTTGTCGTTTTGAGACGACATTAAGTATGATGTTTATCGAGATATTGACAGTTGTGTATTGACATAGAATCGGAAGATTATGATAATTGCCAAATCTTGTTTTGGGACGAAAATATTCTCGCTGGCTTGCATCAGAAGTTTACTCATATAATCGTCTTTTCTTACACAAGGAGAAATTAATAAATATATGATAAAAAGGCATATAGAAACATAATTCAACATCATGCACCTAAAACCATTAGGATGTAATGACACGGGAGATGTATTTACGCACGTTGCCAACTGGTGACGTGTTATATAACAATTAAACTATACGTAGTGTATTTCTTGATATTTAAGCTCACGTAACAACACTTGTCTTCACTATTGTCAATGTTGACATCCATGCATCCTTTTTGCATTTGTATTATAAAGCAATATCGACGCAATATCGTGTCTACTTGATCAGCGTTGATAATTGTAATTGAGTTGGTCGCCTCTGTTTGGTTCGTTTATATTGTCACATGAAAATGTATTCATTTCACTAATACATCGTACTATAAATGGCACACAATTCCTAAGGTATGTTTTACGAATTGGTTGTGGGTGTCTGAGTGGAGTGAGCTGTAAGGAGGGTCTCTGATTGCGATTCATCGCATTCTCCTTGGACATGATGTTTTCTTGTGTTATTATTGCGGATTTTCAGACTTTCCCCTTCCTATTATATGTTAGTTTGCTCAGTACGAATATGTCGACATATGTATATTGATCATGTAATGTACAAAAGATGGTGCTTCCAAGAGCTGTTGATTACTTTCCTCAAGGCGTATACACCTGAAGTAACTCATGTTATCACTGTCCAATATTTACGAGATAATTCATTCATTTATGCTTGTGTATTAGGCAGGATTTTGTTGTCACACCAAACACGGGGAACTCACCGCACGGGGAACAACAGAAAGAATAAGTATGCAAATAACATGGTCAATGTACTATTGGAATAAAATAACTGTGCATTATTTCATGTTGTGCCATTTTAATGCAAAAAGATAATAACACACTTTGTGGTGTTTTCCTTATAACTTTAGTTTATTTGTTATATATCGAAATCTGTATGATAATAATAACTGCAGAGAATTATTAACCTTTGTCAACTGCACGAAATGAATGACGTCGTTCTGCGCAGTAATGCTACAAGAACAAATGTAAGTTGAATGGCAAATTCAACCCCACCACACTGCCATCAGCTAGTCAGAAAACAGTAAAGTAGAATGAGTGAGTGAATGGGTTCAGTTTTACGCCGCTTTTAGCAATATTCAAGCAATATTCAAGTGGGGAACATCAGCAATGGGCTAAACACATTGTACCCAATGCAGAGCATGGCTGCTGAGCAACCTCTGTGTCGTCAGATCTTTTTTCAGACCTTTGCAATTGAGAAATGGCCTTTGGTTGAGCTTCAGCAAATAATTCCTTAAATTGGATGCATAGGTTTTCAGGTGCAATTTCTTGATCATGTGACCTCTGCTAATTTCACCCGCCCAGTATGACATTAATATGAATTATACTTGAGCATGTGCATTATACTAAGACTATTAGTTATGTCGTCCGTAAAAACTATATCCAATTTACACAAGCCTACTTCGATGTGCACATGAACTAGGTTTTTGATCAGGTGATTGAAAAAACGAAACTTGGAGTTATCACCCATGGACCACATAAGTTTACGTTGAAAGTTTCCAAATGACATCTAGACCCATTCGTTAACATTCGCAACTGACTTTAACCAGCAGAAGACGCTTTATGGCTTTGTGAAAAACCTCGACATGTTCGATGATTGAAAATGGCGCACAAAACAATAAGATGCAATAAGACTGTTTGGGGACAAAAAGGTATCCAAATGTACTCTCACGTAAATTCATGACATTTTTTGAATGCTGAATGTCATTAGCCCACTTGATTCAAGTTTGCATAACGGGCACGGATAAACATGCACTTCAGATGTTTACATTTAATGTAATCAAATCCCCCGCTTATAGACTCCAGTGTGTATTTTGACGGTGAGCAACATTAGATCTACCCAGGAAATAGTTTGTGTCCCAGCCATACAGCCAAGCGGAAATAACTTCCTGGTTGTCAACATGGCGGGTGCGTGGATAATATCTGGCTTCCTGGTCACATTAGCCAGCCGGATACAGTCAATACTCGGCCAGTGTCACTGTATGTTTCCTTTGATGTTCTGTTCTTTATGTCCATCTTTGTCATTGCGTTGTCGTATTGTACAGCATTGTTGCCACGGCTGTTTTACCCTCGGCAGTAATCACTGATCATGGACTACTTAAAAGGATAGTAAAATTGTATGGAACCGTGATATACAGACTGTGTATACATGTTGTAGACATGAAGATATACCCACGTTGTATAATTTATCCTATACCAACATGACATAAAAGATGTCATGCTAAAACGTTCCTCGCTGTTGGAAACAACTGAAAAAAGATAATTTGCTGACAATTATGGACATGAATACACAATGCCATTTACAAGGTGGTGAAATGTATCTTATGTGGGTTACTGATTGACTGAGTGGGTTAGATGGCTGACTTGTGTGCTGGTGATTGGGTGCCTGACCCTGAGAATGTGAGTTCGAATCCTCTTCTTCTTCCATGGTATATGTGGATGAATAATGCTTGCCATCGTATTACGGATTACATAGTCTCTTGAGGCTTGCACATGACCTTATCACTCGTTGGTCATTTTCCATTTTACCATTCGTGTTTATCAATTAAATTTAATTATTGCCATTATATTTAAAGGTTGGTTCCGTAAGTTAAATGTCCAGTTAAGAACTACATGAAAAGTGAGTCAGTGATCAGTCAGTCCACAATAGATGATATCGGCCAAAAGCGGAGCCACCTGTAAGCTACGGACTACATCACGAGCAAGCATTTATTAATAACTATAAAATAGTGATGTTACCAAGTGTTCACGAAACGGTGAGCGTATCCTCGTCTACCGGTGGCACCAGTCACACAGTGCAAAGCTTAATCAATGAATGACCTGGAAATAACATGAACATATATGGTACAAGTTAAAACAGGCAGTCGAACAATATTCGTTTCTGATGCATCGAAATTCCAAATGTCTACCATATAATTTTTGGAAATCTTTGAAGCTGAAGTTGAATATTGTAACGTGTTGGTCTGAATTATGATGCTGTTTGAGATTTTGGAAAAATTGGCGTACTTGATTGTACCTACAAAGTTTTGAATGGTCAGTTATTGATGTATCACGTTGTTTTGAAGATATTATGCGATTGAATCATTGAATATGCGACAAGAACTATTTACTAAATATTAAACACGAACATGCATGTCCAAAAGGAACATGCTCTCCAGGAAGGTTTGGTGGATCCTGCTACTACGCCTGTCACTGTGGAGACTCCTGTAACCAGAAGACTGGAGTTTGTGGAGGAGGCTGTGACTCCGGCTGGGTTGGAGGACATGGAGCTAACTGTCAGAAAGGTCTGTTGTTAATACCTTTACATTTTACTGAATTAACAACACTGTGAACTGCTTAAAGGTTTATAAAATACTCATTTCATAATCACACCTTTACTATATGTAACAAATAGAATATCGCAGTGGCAAACATATGCTAAAATTGGCTGCGGAAATTATTGCTTGAAACATTTGTTTTTAAATCAGAAAATGTTGCCCTCAAAAGAAACGCCTCCTCCCCTACTAGGCTGTATTCAAACTCATGGTCTGCGGACAAAGCTGTAGATGGGAACAGGGGCCAGAATGTGCACAGTGGTTCCTGTTTCAACGCAGATGACAATACATGGGGTTTGAGGAAGGTGGACCTAGGAAAGTAGTACGGAATACATGATGTCAAGATATATCAGTCATCGCACAGTAAGGACTGAAGTAACTGGCAATTGGCTACAGTAGTTTTGAAATATTCTTTTTATGTATTTCTTTCATTTTGACAAAATAGGTTTCAATAGATCCGATGGCAAGATGTGCATCAGAATAGTTCATTCTGGATAATACCTGAAGTAATCATTTAGACGATTCTCATGCATTCTTATTTCAACTAATCTACTCTTTCTAAGGAAAGTGAAAACGGGAGACAAAGGACATGCCTCTCTAAAACTTCACTTTTTTTTTTTCTTTAATGTAGCAATAAAAATATCATTTATTGTAAACGAGTTTACTGTCTGCAGATATGAATAATAGCTAGTCGAAAATCTATTTTAGAACCAGAAGGAATCCGGTCTTGTGTGCTCTACTTGAGTAACACGAGCTCCTCTACGGGCCTCCCGTGCTATGCCTTCCCATACGACACCCGAGTCAGTAACGGCGGGATCTACAGTGCAACATGTGATGGCATTGGAAGATATTTCTCAATATCAAACGCCACATACCTCAATCTCTGTGAGGTCGAAATATATGGTAGGAGTGTATTAAATTTCTGTACGGTTACTGTTCATGTGACAAAAGGCACACATATTTTTATGCCATAATCGGACATAGACCCTTCATATATCAACAGGTATCCGACATGGACAAACTCTCATTTGTAATGCAAATCTACATTGTTATTGTGTATCCGTATCACCTATTTTCAGTTTGCAGCCCTGGGTTGTTTGGAGAAACCTGCTGTGAATTTTGTCACTGCGCTGAAGAGGCTTGTGACCGTGTAAGTGGTTTGTGTCCTGGAGACTGTAGACCAGGGTGGCAGGGCAACAGGTGTGATACAGGTGAGGCGTAATACATGGTGTAAGAGGAACTGGTATTAGACAGGTGAGGAGATTCAGTCAGTGAATCCTGTAGACTGTAGGCCAGGATGGCAAATAGACAGGAGATATTTTTATGGGTCTGTGATAGAGGTTTTATCGTCCAAAAGACAAAAGGATTGGACACAAGTGCACCACTTTTTCTGTGTCTTTCGTCATCAAAATTAATTAAAACCTCAGAATAGTGACTTCCTGAAGTCATAATATAAAGTGCATTAAAAAAAGAAATGTAATGAATTTTTACATGGCGCGCCACATTCGCATTCAATAACATCAGATAGGTTAACCCGCAACAGGTCGAAATTTAGTGTGCTGCAACTGTGTCTCAATCTAGTGTGCAATACGTTTGTGTATCTCTAACCGCAATTATACATCGGTGGAAACGCGGACTGCTCCGATACGACAGTTTTCAAACGGACTATTCCTTACCTTTGACGGTAGACTATCCCATTGGCCTAATGTATCGATAACATATGATCTTTTATTCGTAGATGTCCGTGCAAATAGTGCAACAAAATTATGACAATGGTACAGGTGAAGAGAATGTGTCCCAAATGACACTAAACGTTAAACAAAATTTCATGAACCAATGAGGATGTTGATGTAATAGTGTAATGGTTAAATACAAATCGAATCCTGTTTATTCCAAGACCGTGTTGTTTTAATTACTGCTTTAAACCGCTGACATGTAATTATGACAGTATTTAAGCAGCAGGCCCTTACTATGATTATGACTTCAGAAAACCCTGATAAATCAAAATTGATGTATGTGGGTTGAAATCCTGATACGGTAATATGATAGTTATGAATCATATTGAAAAGAAAGTTTTTTCTTCATTACTGACTTCACTGTGTAAAATACATGAACTGTCATTTGTGAACGTCCCTTTTGATTTTTTGTGCTGATCTATTAACATCCCATATGATTTCTTTTCAACATGATAAGAACATAATGCATTAAAAAACTTCCCGAATCAAAACTATGAATATTCGTTTTTCTTGTACATACATACATACTAACATTTGTATAGAGCCGATATCCAGCTGTGAATATCGATAAATTTACACTGAATACTCCCGTTTGCTATTGTGTGAATATCCATATAATATGTCCTCTTGATCACTGTATGTCAGTCTCAACGGCACGTCGTATTATCAATCTCAACTCCCTGAGGAGTATACAACTCTTGCAGCCACTAGGCGCACTGAGTTAGTGTGGCTTTCCCATCCATACGCGGTATCCATTCACAGCTGGGTGGGACATAGTCACAGTATTTTGTCCAAGTTTACTGCATGTTGGTGTACCCGCAACTAGGTGTTTGCACGTATTCATGTGGCCACCATCTGGTCATATACCAACGGATTCGTGGGTTCTTTTAAGTGCACAGGGTTGTGTACTGTACACTAGGGGTTGTGACAACACTGAAAGAGTCTGCACACAAAGTTGACTCCAAGGATTTTACACCCGGTCACAGGTGGACTCGATCCCGTCTCCTCAAGCTCGCTGGATCACTAGCCTGGCGCTTTAGCCAGTTCGCCCACCACGCCTGTAGAATGTGACGCTAACCACTACGGAGTCAACTGTGTGAACACGTGTACTGACAGGAAGTGTTCTGATGTAAACTCGTCATGTGATCGTTACACCGGGTCATATGACAGGGGATGTCTCCCTGGTTTTGACATTTAGATCAAATTATTAATTTTCAGTTATCTGTTATCAGAACTTTGTTATGGCTAACTATTACATTTTGCCTAGGATCCCTAAAATTGTTAGAACAAATAAACCAAGGAGACTCAACCTTTAGCTTAAAACCATCAAATGAAAATGGGCGTTTTGCAATATGTTCACGTCATTGCGATATCTCCATAGAGTGCACAAATGGACTCTATGGACAGAACTGCATCGACTCTTGTTCTGACAGGAAGTGTGCAGGAGACGCGCCTTTTGATCACATAAGAGGGGCTTGTGCGTCTGGCTGTGCACCAGGGTGGATGGGTGAAGACTGCAGAGGAGGTAAACATCTTCACAGACATCTGTATTTACTTTTGACAGACAAACTTCAACATTATTTTCAAGCTTTAAAATCTATGATCGTACTATCATACAAAGCCAGCCTTTATCATACAATGATGTACTCTACACATAAACCAAGATTGAATAGCGATTAGAATATATACTCAACATGCATTATAATCCATGTACTAATTATTTATATATACAACAACATTAGAAAGGTGATACATTAATTGTGAGTAGAGTCATTCTTGTCGCTTCGTGTTGTGCCACACACGGCAATGAAACGTTTGAACATGATCTGTAGATTAGCGTGAAACACAACTATCATATGCAACGAGTCACGTGATTACCTCAGCGATTTGTACATGTACATTTTGCCTGAAGCATGGTTATTCTTTTTGAAGTTTCATTTCATATTTCTATCAAGACTAATAGGAAATTTGCTTGCTCATACATGAAGACGATTAGATTACATAGCTCAAATGGTATCCTATTATAGCATGAAATATATTTATATGTGTAAAAGTGTTCATTAAATACGAGCAATACACTGTAATATATGTTCATGCAATTTGGGATTTCTCAACAGTGTGCTCAAACGGAAGCTAGACCAGGGTTACAGGGAGACAGATGAGATACAGGTGAGGACATACAGTCAGTGGTGTGTCCTGGAGACTGTAGACCAGGGTGACGGGAAGACAGGTGTGATACAGGTGAGGAGATCCAGTCAGTAGTGTGTGTCCTGGAGGCTGTAGACAAGGGTGGCAGGAAGACAGGTGTAATGCGGGTGATGTGATCCAGTCATTGGTGTGTGTTCTGGTGACTGTAGACCAGTGTGGCAGGGAGTCAGGTGTGATACAGGTGAGGTGATTGAGTCAGTGCTGTGTGTCCTGGAAACTGTAAACCAGGGTGACAAGGAGAGAGGTGTGATACACGTGAGGAGATCCAGTCAGTGGTCTGTGTCCTAGAGACTGTAAACCAGGGTGGCAGGGAGACAGGTGTGATACAGGTGAGGAGATCCAGTCAGCAGTGTGTGTCCTGGAGACTGTAGACCAGGGTGACAGGGAAACAGGTGTGATACAGGTAAGGAGATCCAGTCAGTGGTCTGTGTCCTAGAGACTGTAGACCAGGGTGAAAGGGAGACAGGTGTGATACAGGTGAGGAGATCCAGTCAGCAGTGTGTGTCCTGGAGACTGTAGACCAGGGTGACAGGGAAACAGGTGTGATACAGGTGAGGAGATTCAGTCAGTGGTGTGTGTCCTTAAGACAATAAACCAGGGTGGCAGGGAGAGAGGTGTGATACAGGTGAGGAGATCCAGTCAGCAGTGTGTGTCCTGGAGACTGTTGACCAGGGTGACGGGGAAACAGGTGTGATACAGGTGAGGACATACTGTCAGTGGGGTGTGTCCTGGAGACTGTAGACCAGGATGGCAGGGAGAGAGGTGTGATACAGGTGATGAGATCCAGTCAGTAGTGTGTGTCCTGAAGACTGTAGACCAGGATGGCAGGGAGACAGGTCTGATACAGGTGAGGAGATCCAGTCAGTGGTGTGTGTCCTTAAGACAATAAACCAGGGTGGCAGGGAGAGAGGTGTGATGCAGGTGAGGAGATACAGTCGGTTGTGTTTCTTCTGGAGACTGTATACCAGGGTGGCAGGAAGACAGGTCTGATACAGGTGAGGAGATCCAGTCAGTGGTGTGTGTCCTGGAGACTGTAGACCAGGTTGGCGGGGAGATTCGTGTGATACAGGTGAGGAGATCCAGTGAGTGGTGTGTGTCCTGGAGACTGTAGACCAGGGTGACAGGCAGACAGGTGTGATACAGGTGAGGGGATGCAGTCAGTGGTGTGTGTCCTGGAGAGTGTAGACCAGGGTGACAGGGAGAGGGAGGTTGCGTCGACAGTTTCTGTTGCCTGATACCCCGTGTCACCCCATTTAAGTATGTACCTAACTGTGATGAAACGTTCAAAGTCAAAAGATAGAACGAATGTAAACCTACTTAGTTGTGATATTTGGAGTGAGTGAGTGAGTGAGTTTAGGTTTACGCCGCACTCAACAATTGTCCATCTATATGGCGGCGGTCTGTAAATGATCCAGTTTGGACAAGACAATCCAGTGATCAACAGCATGAGCATCAATCTGTACAATTAGGAACCGATGATATGTGTCAACCAAGTCAGCAAGCCTGACCACCCGATCCCGTTAGTCGCCTCTTACGACAAGCATGGGTTACTGAAGATCAATCTAACCCAGACGTTCACGGGTTGTGATATTTGGAAGTCGCGGTACAGAAGAATCGATATATCCGATTGGCACCGAGCAAGAAAATCATTCCAGACTCCTTAAATTCGGCTATTGTAATTTATAATAATAATAGGTCATTTGTATAGCCCCTGGTATCCATCTGTCTAGTTGCTCACTGGCGTATATGTAGGAGTAGTAGAGTGAAAGGGGGGAAATGGCAAATATTAGAAGCAGTTCTCAACAGAAAAGTTTGATTAGGCTTTTAAAAGTGGATTCACAGATGGTGAATCTGATGTAAAATGTTTCATAATTGAGGTGCAACAATGGAGAAGGCTCTGCCACCCCTTTTGCTTGTGGAGACTGGTTGGGGCAAGAGGAACTGATCGGAGAAGCTTGCTGGTGAGCTCTTTAAGGTAGAGATGGCTGTTTTCCCTGTAGAGGGCTCGATGAGTCGGTAACAGAATTTTATAGAAGATACGCTGTTGAACTGACAACCAATGGAGAGATTCCTGAACTGGAGTGATGTGGTAAGTGCGTAGCTTGCGTGTAATCATTCTTGCAGCAGAAATCTGTACTCTTTGCAGACGTGATAGAATCTTTTTTAGGGAGGTTGACAAGAAGAGAGTTACAGTAGTCGAGACGGCTAATGATTTGCGTCGATCGAGTAAATACAGCCATAACACAGGGGTACAGGGATATCTACAC